GCTGGCAAAGCTGATGCCGGCATACAGTAGGATGCGCGACGAAGGAGCTCCCTGGAGAGTATGGCAGCTCTCCGGAAGGCTGTGATTGGATTTCTCGGTGCAGTAAGTCACCCCCTCCTCCAGGTAGATAATGCCATCACCGCCGCAAGTCTTGGGAAGGAGAGTGCCGATCGAGCTCTCGGTGACACCAGGTCCACTAGTGGTGGCACTTGTTCCGACAGCTTCCAGCGAAAGCACATCGTCCTGCCGCGTCGGGCGCGAAGCCTGGGACAAGGTCCAGAGGACACCTGAACTGACTCTCACAATAACATCGGGGCCTTCATAGTCAGAATAAGGTTTGGGGTATAGTGTACTTTGAAAGCGGTTCTAAAGGTTACTAGTTCACGAGAAAACCTCAAAAATCCAAGTGCAAGCCTCCTCCAGAAGCCCTGTGTGCCCATGAAGCTGTATGACAATCACTTAACTTAAACACCCCATCCCAGATTCAGCCACGGGCACACAGTAGAAGAGCTAGTTTCGTCTGCTGCGCGCTCACGGCACGCATCTCCCTCCAGGCCAGATGGAAGCAGGTGTCCGCATCGTAGATGCAGCTGGCAAAAGCGAGAACTGGATCACTGCAAGCTACAACTGTCTGGGCTTCTTCCAGCCCAAAAAAATGCAGAAGCAGAGGACTTCTAGAAACGCTAGCACAAATCACAGCACTCACCGCGGGCGGGCATGAGCGGACTTCAGCAAGTTTCTGCAGAGAGAGAAGTTGGCAGACGCTTACCTCACCGTCGTCCTTCCCAAGTGGCGAAGGAGCAACGCACGCACAGGACAGAAAGGCAGCACCTTTTTCCCTCTTACAGCGGCAGTGACGGATGCTGGCAGCTTTTGGCGCCTAGCTGGCGAGGTGACCTTGCAAATCCTCGGCTCTGTTAGACTCAGAGAGGTATGGGGCTCCAGGTCATGGATTTCAACCTCTTGCAGCCCTTCAAGGAAGTACCAGGATTTCAGACAGCACGTCCACAGTCTCAATTTCTCAGGGCCTATATTGGGTGCTGAGAGTCCCTGAAGATCTCAAACTCCACGGCCTCCGAACAGCCATACAGACGCACTCTAAACCCTGAACTTAGATGTCCTTCGGGAGGCAGAGAGAAAGTACCGCCAACGATTCACAACCCTGCATCACATGAGAAGTTGGGCTTCCAATTCTTGGCTTCATTCACCCGCGGCTATAAACGCCGAGCCATCCTAAACGCTGAAACCCTGCAGACCTTGAACACCAAATCGTAAGAACCCAGCGATACCTCAAATCTGACAACGCGATCCATCCTAAACCCAAAGGACGACCAATCTCTTCGGTAGGTTTGCGAGCAAAGGCTCTCACACGTCGACATTGCTACAGTGCCTGTGACAGCTTTCCCAGAGAGTGGTCCTTATGGGGTTTAGGGTTCAGGTGTTTGGAGTTTGTATTGTAGGGTTTAGAGTTTTAGGGCTTAGGATTTGGTATCACAAGGGTTCTATACGGGTCTTGCCCTTCGTCGGTTTTTGACAGAGTCTGGACATGATTTCGTGTTGGGACAACTGGGAACAACCTTCGACCTTTCATGTTTCGGGAGTTAGAGCTAGTCTAGGACAGTCTAGGATGAGGAGGCTTCGTAAGAAACCCTTTTTAATTTGCATAAGGCCCCACTGAAAGCTAGTCTAGGGCCTAGCAATTAATGCAGAAGCCTCGAGATTTAGACTAGGGTTGTGGCGTACATACCGGAAAACTGCGAAGGCAGCCATAGAAAGCTAATTGAGGCCCCTTGGGCCCCCTATGTGAGGTGCTCTCGAAATCTCGCTTTGAATGCGGTCTTATGGGGTCTCGTCTCCGGCCGGATTGTTGAGGGTTTAGGATTTACCGAACCCATCGGCCACACACTTCGGAAGGCCCATCAAGATTTGGAGTCTGCACAGTTAGGATTTAGATAATTATGGTGCCGGCTTTAAACCCAGGCATCCTATGCAGAACCAAACTGCCTCAACGGAAGTCAAAACCTTTGATAGGGGGCTTTTGAGATTTAGAATAGGGGGGCATATTCTGCTCTAATCAAGGAGCCCTCAGGAATAGTACTGGTAGCTACTCAGGCATTCTATATGAAATGCTAGGCAGAGCTTCTGAAGGCTCGTAATTCTCGGGCCTTTTGCCTTCGCGTCTGACGGGAACCCTAAAACCGTTAAGCCCTTAAGCCCTAAACCCCCTAAACCGATAGTTACAGATGCAACTCTTGGTCCTGTGACCTACCCCTATGAAACCTAAACCCTGAACCAGGAGCCGCAACGGCCTGGCATTAAAGGCCTTCTGGACTACAGGCCTGCAGCATTTAGGGTTGAGAGCTTTTGAGTTTGGGGCTTGAGGGCCTTGGGTTTCGTGTTTAGGACAGTTGAGGGTTCAGGGTTCAAGGTTTCAGAGGTCTGTATGCTTTAGGGGTTGAGGGGTTAGGGGCTTTAGGCCGGCTTATAGGGATTTAGGGTACAGTAGGGTTCAGGGTTTAGGGAGAAATGCGGAAGCAGAACAAACCACCTCATTCCAATAATCTATTGAGATGTTCTTCGTAGGGCTTTGCATATATAGCTTATCGTGCATGTTGTAACAAACGGGCAGTCGGCGTGTGCAGTTGGCTGTGCCAGAGCTGGAATGAGCTGAATACACTACGAGATTGGTGTATTACATCATTCCGTTGCTGTAGCCAACATGGTAACTAATATATGAGCACAAGACCTACGTGAAACCACACTTGAAGACCGAACGGGCATGGTTGAATATCTGCCGGTCGCCAAGAAGCTTGCTGCTCTGTTGCTGTTGTTGTCGCTGTCGTCGTAGTGCTGGTTGTGGTTGTGGCTGCTTTCGTGGCTTCGATGGTCACGTGCTGCTGCAACTGGGGCTGGAGAAGCCTTGCCCTTTCATCTAAAGTCCCAAACCCTGCAAACTCAAAACCAAGCTTATTATGGCACCTAAATCAAAGTCCCTCAAGAAGAAGCCTTAGCATCAAAAGCCTTATGGAATAGGGGCTTTGAGCCCAAAAAGCCCTTAGAACATGAGTCCTCGGCGGGTAAGGGAAAACCCGGACGAACAGTCCACACCCTAAACCGGGGCTTTGGCCGAGTTGCTGCGAGCTTCCGGGGTGCAGAGGCTGGGGCAGAGCTCACCTGCAACAGAGGGGGCCTGGTTTAGGGTTTAGCGTTTAGGGATTAGGGTTTGGGGGTTAGGGTTAGGGTTTAGGGTTTTAGGGTTTGCGGTTTAGGGTTTTAGGGTTTTGGGGTCGAGGAGCCTGCGAGTTTGGCTCAGGAGGCTAAAAACACCTTTAAGTGTCCAAAAACCCAAAGCCCTCGTTGCAAGGCAGCATGCAGCACAAACTCTTGGCTTCATGCACTGGCCGTCAACCAGAACTTACAAGTCTGACAAATGAAACCCCTCCCTTGATGAGTATTCGGATCCTTATATTGATAATCTCAAAATGGAGCATGTACTTAGATATCTTGGGAGCCTTCTATTGATACCCTCCAAGAAGGATTTTGGGCAATCAGTCAGTCGCTTACATGTTTTGTTGCGAAGTGCAGTTTGTTTCGAAGCCTGTTCTTAGAGGCAGCGCCGGTACGTGGCTGTGCGTTTAGACACATTTTTGAGTGGTGTGTGGGGGGGGGGGGTGGGAGGGCTTAATGACGTCCGGCTTCAGCGGATCATTGCATGTGCGGTCTTCATGTTCATGCTCAGCTGGTACCATCACTACCGTTGTTGCATTCAGGACACTCGCCTCTTTTGCCGGGCAAGCCGAATCGACCTTAGCCCTGTAATCGTCGGTATATGTATTGCCGCCGCGGCAGCGGATTCCTGCCGATCAGTTGGCGGCATCTATTAGCCCTCTTCACCTTCTCTGTCCTCTTCCCCAAGGTTGGGGGACTTGAAAACTGAGCTGCGGATGTAGAGCCATAAGAAGTAGATGTAAACCCCACTCGTGAGCGCGAAGAAAAGGGCGCTGCTGGCCACGTAAATGGCGTAGGGCATGAAAGGCCACTCAACTAGCAAAGACATCACCAGCACTAAACACACCGAGGAGATTCCCAGCATCCGTGCTTCCAGCCGATGCCACAGGTTGCTGGCATGAGGTCGGATAGTGACGTGAAGGAGCTCTGCAACAACCACGATGCCTGAGAAGGCCGCGAGGCGAGAGCTGCCACGAAAGAGCGGCAACAACAAAATTGACCAGAGCTTGGTTTAGGGGTATAGGGTTTAGGGGTTTAGGGCTTTAGGGTTTTAACAAGATGGAGTATGCGAGACAAGCCCCTACGAAACATCTCTTAAGTCTTCAGTCGCCGAGGTAGTTGTTACCAGTACCAAACGCTAAGACGCTTATCTAGACCTCACCCCAAGCCAACTGTCTGGCAAGCGGCCCAAAAGATAGATCAAGTGAGACGCCGGCGCCAAAGACATCGGAAGCAAAGCAGACACGGCAAAGATGGCCTCGGCTGTTCTTGAATGCCCCTTGAAACTACAAGGTGCAGGTTTGCGGTTTAGGGTTTAGGGTTTGTACCTTCTGTTAATGAACTGTGCGAACATCGAACAGATGCAGGAACGGCCTAGGCACTGCCTTTCTCCCGAGGACCATGACCTGTCTGACAACGGAATCAGGATCTGGAGAGACGTAAGACACATGTTTGTATATCTTTGCGTGCAGAAGTTAAAACTGTTGGTATATGTATCTAGATCGAAATGTACAACCACAATGGAGAGGTATGTGGCCTATGCGACTACGTGCATGCAATTGCTTTCTACTCTCACCAAGAAACTGCACTTGTACTTCAACACATGCCTGCTCACCCCCCCTCTCCACCCCCAGCACTTAGCAATTGGCCTAAAGCCACAAACTCACAAAACCCAACCTAGACTTAAAGTCTTAATACTATAAACCCTGAACGCCAACCCGCCCCGGCAAAACCCCTGCAGTCTACCTTGCACTTAAACTCTTCCTCTGCCTCCCACCATCGGAGCGTCGGCCTGTATCCAGCCACCAGGAAGGCCACTGTCTCGCTCCGCTGGTCCCATACCTCCTCCTGAAAGCTTGCTACTTCCCGAAACCGTGCGGTCATACACGGTGCTATGGGTTTGCGGTGGCAATTGTTGGCAGAGAGAGCATTGCTTGGTTACCTAGAGTGCTCGGTGCCCCTGGCAGGCGTGAAGCTGTGCCCAGCGGTTCCACGGCTTCCCGCGCCGATGAGATGTGCTTTCGAATACAATCTGTCTTTCCACAGTCCTGCTCAAGTCCGTCCTCCGGACTGCATGCCCGCACGGTCCAGCAGCGCCTCTTGAGGCTGAGCGTGCCGAGCTTTTGCCCGCGAGGTCTCTGGCCAACCTCTTCTCGCCAGAAGCATTCCTTCTCCTACCGGCCTCCGCCTAGGCCAAGCAACACTCAGCCAGTCCGCTGCCGTCCGACGCTTGTAGAGTCTAATTCTATGGTGTGGGTTTAACCTGTTGTTTTACAAGTCAGCTCCTTCGCCGGATCCTTCGCTGCCAACATCAGCCACAGGACAGGTCCTACGAGAAGTAGAAGCAGGGTCGTCCCGGCAGCGAGCCAAAATCGTGGCAGGTTCAGGAGAGGCCACAAGTTCTCGACGCAGCGGGTGCCAAAGGCAGCCTCGTACATGAGAATCCGCGGCCCCTTCGCCTCGGAATGAAGGTTTCGGGGTTTGATGTAAAGAAAGGCTACAGGGGGAAATTTCGGGTCACGTGACTCAGGGTGAGGTTGTGCTTGGGTTTGGACCAGCCTGAGTGGAATAGCAAGGCACCAGCCTTGCTGCTGCCGCGATGAGGGGGGGGACGAACATATTGCCCCAGACCACGAGGGCCTTCAGCCAGCCCCGCTTGCCGAGCCAGCACCAGGACAGCAACAATAGAGCTGACGGGATGGACCAAGACAAGAAGACATCCAAGTACAAGTTTATTTGTGTTGGTTTTGTAGGCTCTTGAACAAGAACATCCCATTTTTGTTCTTCCGCGAAATAATCTATACTAGAAATACTTTCCAAGCCCGGCCAAGTTACGGGGCCTTCTTCTGTCAAGCCCCAGCAGTCGTAAGCGAAGTTCATGGACCTGGGCCGGTACGAATCCGACATTACCCTGAAGTATCCTAAACCCTAGACCGTCTCCCAAGATCTCAACCCATGTTCGAATTTGCCACCACATCCGGGTTGCCCTGGCTCGCTGCTGATCACCAGGTCCACTGCAAAGAGGCTCTGATAGAGTGCCTGCAGCACAAAGACGAAAATCCAGATTTCTGTCAGACTGAGATTGAATCATCCCCCGTTTCCCTCCCCTGGCCCTTGATTTAGCAGCAGCAGCCAAGAACGGTACAAACCCGGAAGGCGAGCTCTCCAACCCGAACTGTGGATCTCATGTGGCTTGCATGTTCCTCGCCTCTCCAGCGGCTTTAATGTCATTTGTCAACTTCGCGTAGTGCCGGGTCTTGGGCAAGGCAGAGAGGCTCCGGCAAGAGATGGTCAGGAATGCCAGGAATACCTGAGGTGGATCTCATGGTTCGACGATGTCCTTAATTACAGTAGACCTGGCAATCACAATGCGGAGGTCCCAGTTCCAGGTTGCAGGTTTAAAGTTCTCAAATCCACACGACTTTGGCCCCGAAACGTTGAGCTTGTATGTTGAAGGCAGCCCTTGCATACCAGTCGTAGGCTGAGGTAATGCACGGGTTTCCTAGCTTCGAGAGACCTCCTGAGAAGCTGTTATTTTTGCAGGTGTTTGTGTGCTGTTGTGTTTTGGCTTGTAGAGGAGTCGATGGTCATCAACCTTTTGGGCCGTGAGCAAGCAAAGAGACATTCAGGGGGAGGGCAGGGAAGAGGGATCACCTTGAATGTCCAACCTTCATCCTCAACGCCTACACTCCTACACAAAAAAAGCCCCAAACCCCCATGGGGCATCCACGCTCTTGGGGCTTGGGTCGAGGTTGTCTTCTAAGCAACAATTCGGCTCTTGTAGGCTTTGTTTTGCTTTGTTTGAGTTTGAGGATGTGGCGCTTTCGGGGTGTGGAGCGTTGGGTTTGAGGGTCTGGGGGGTTTGGACTCCGTGGTCTTCCAGACAACCCGCTGCGACAAAAACCTGAGGAAAACTTCTGAATCGAAAAGCGTGCTGGCAGGCGTTGCCCCGAAACCTAGATACCAAAGACACAGGAACGCTTCAGTCACTGATCTCAAGACCGAGTATTCTGATAAATACACTATACATACACCCGCTTGGCATAGAACGTCTCGACAGCCTGTCCCAATTGTTATGAGAGATCAATCCTCCACTAGACTCAGAGGATAATGAAAGCCGTTTACACATTATTCTTTCCACATGAATCTAGGCACCCTAATGTTGAAAAAAACTTGGCCATACTCAAAACCGTATATACAACTAATGAACCCCTGGGCCCACCTTGAAGATCTGCTGGGTGTCGGTTCTCGGCTTGGCAGAGTTGAGAGCAAAGGCGTAGAAGAGGCCGTTGGAGACGACAGCCCGGCCTACCTGGCGCAAGCTTTACCCATAGGCTCCTGAGTAGTTCCTTTTTGGGGATTACCTCATAGGATTCTAAATATGAACCATAGAAAGGAACTACTTAGAGGCCTATGGGTAGGTTTGATGTAAGGGTTTCGGGGTGAGAGAGTTACGTTTCAATGTTTTCGGAGGGTTTTGGTGGGCTTAAGGCTTTTGACTTGCTGGTTGATTTTGATCAGTTTGGATCGGCTCTAGACTCTAGTCTTCCTGTTTGCTAGGCTTGCTTACTATTACTGTTAATACCCCTGTGGTGGAACATGCATTCCTTTCCGTTACATAGATATGGGTCAGAATGGCAATGGAAGGGAACTGCAATCGTCAGCGAGGCTGCAAACTGTGGGATTGCAGCTGAGGGACCGTCGAAACCGAGGTATTGGTTTGTCAAAGAGCCCGGTGGCTTAGTGTTTAGGGTTTAGGAGTTTAGGCCATGCAAGGTTCCGGGGTTCGGGGTTAAAGGCTTCGAGAAAGGCTTCACGTGAGCTGGAATCCCACGGTGCGTCACGGTCTCTATAGTGCATTGGTGGTGTTGTCCCAGATGCTGCAAAGACCTCTGGGGATGAGCACAGTGGGTGATGCGCCACATCAACCTGAAACTCAAACCTCCAACCCCACGCGAGCTATAGACCCTGACGCGCAAGGGTTTGGAGTCATCGGAACTGCCGGCGCCTGCTGTGCCAAGGACAGACCTCAGGTTTTTGTGCAAGTGCGCCCCCAGAGGGAAGGTGGGTCAACTTCTAACGAAAGCTTCGTGATATCTACGTGGCGTTACGAGATATTTGGAGGCTATAATTGTGCGGGTTGCTAAGAGGGTTTGCATTTACGTGTTCAGGTTCATGGACAGCAAGCATAGAGTCAAAAAGAGTAGTATGTCTTGAGTGCGTCAGTTGGGGCGACAATCGACTATGGAACCGACTGTAGCACTTCAACAAAAAGTCTTCGATCATGTGGGTGCAGCAACAGACCATCATCCCCAACAGGTGTACGATTCAACCCTGCTGAAGACCGCCAAATCCTCAACCCCAACCCAAAAGCCCAAACCCAAGCCTCCGCATTTTTGGCAGATGAAGGGGTCCAGCAAAGGGCGGCCGTAATCAGGCGCACAGCGAACGCAACCAGGGCGGCTGCTTTCATAGCCTTAGCCACGACTGGAGGGCCTCGCTTCGGGATTGGGGTTTAGCTCGTTTTAGACTTCAACGTCGTGGGTTGTAGGGCCGTCGAGTACTTGTAAAGGATCATGAGCGAGGCAAGTGAACGTGTTGTTTCGACCCCGTCGAGATACTTGTAGTCAGACTTATACCGAGCTGTGAGACTTCTCGTAGCTGCTCCTAACCGAGCAGCAGCTCGTATTTTGCGATTGAAGCTCTTCCAAACATGGACACTCTGAGCCCTCCGCGAAAACGTCACAAGTCCCTGGCTCAAAAACAACCACAGTTCTCAAGTTGCGAGAGCCCAGCATCTCGAGGGGTTCCGATCTCTGATACTCGTCCTTCCTAACCTCAAAGTCTACTCACGCAACTTTACACATTCTATCCCCTTCAACCCCAAGTCTTTCCACAGCCAAGCAGGCGGCCTTCGGCGCAAAGCTTGCTCTCACGAGATAGCTCGCCGGCGCCGGTGAGGCTGAGATTGCTACCAGGACCTGGGCTGTTCACATGCCCTCTTGAACAAGTAACGGCTTTTCCTGAAATAACAAAACGTGTCCAAGAACATCCACGAGACAGGCCATGCGGTTGGGGCAGCGATGGACGTCAAGCGTCCGCTCTCCTGGCGTTTGAGGCGTCAAGCAAGAGCGGGATGTCGACATGCAGCAGAGATGCAGTGACTCATGAAAGGAGCAGTCATAAGAGTGAAAAGAACAACAACTAGACGAAAGAAGCTATATCGATGTTCCATGTAGTGCAACGACGACTTAACTGCTGAAGACCAAAAAACAGCTCATCTGGTGGCTTTGCGAAACATTCTAGGGGGACCAACCGAAATCCTCTCCGGCCTGTTACATGTCGGAGCATGTAGCCTGGAAGAGCGCTGACCGACGTCGAACCATGGCACTGAGTCTTGTCCGCCATCTCGCCGGCAATGCTGTGACATGGGCGACAGGCCCAGTAAGGATTTTTGGGTTGGAAGGTGTAGTTCACCTCGCGGACAACACCGAACACAAGATCCGGCGCATGAACCGGGCTGATGTAGCCGTGCTCGTCCACTTGGAAAATGCCTGTCTCGTTGCTTTTCCTCCACGGCATGTTCTCCAATCCTTTCATGAAGGCCACCGGGGTATTCAGAACATAGGAGTCATAGGCCACTGCAAGTTTCCAGCCATCTTCCGTCCTGCAATTATGACTACCATCAGACTTTGAGCTTTGCAGGGACTCAGCCGTAGAACGCCTCTTCCTTCGTCCTTGCCCTACCTCCTTCCTACTAAGTCACACTAGTTCGGAAATCTTGTTTACTGTCAAAGACTCGTCGCAGCAATGAACTACTGTTTCGTGGGTACCTGTGCGATGTTCTTGCATGCGAGTCTTCGGAGGTCAGTTTGCCGGATGCATCACGAACTCATCGCGAACCCGACACGGACATCAATACGTTGTTCACGTTGTATCCGCGTGTTTACATCTTCGACATGATCGATTTCGTGTCTGGCCCATCCACAAGCAACAATATGTCGTGCTCACTGGTCGTGACCGCCTTATATAAATATGGCCTCGTGTCGCGTGTCGGTGCCCCCCCTCCGTGATGGTAACCCCCCCATGGTATACGCCCGAGATCCTCGTGAACGTCGTTGAACGGACGGGCTCCCCGAATCTCGGATCCTCGTGATTGTGGTGACTTTTGAAAGCTCTTTTGAAGCTGTGGAACTTCTTGGCGTGTCCAAAGCGGCGACACTCACCTGGATTGGCCAAGGTTTCGGTCTGCGCCGCACCCGGCTGCTGACCCTCAACCCTAAACCATTTCATACCTATACAGCGAATTAAACCCGACAGACCTCACCGCCCACCAACGGAGGGGGGGGGGGCGCGGGTGCAAAGCCGAAACCCTAAACCCAACACCCACCACCACACCGCAGGGAACGGGGAAGGTGGGCAAGGCACTAAACCTGAAACCCACAACCCACCACCGCACGACACCACACCACACCACAGGAGGAGAAGGGGGGCGGTTAATAACCCAAAACCCACCACCACACCACAGTGGGACGAGGGGGGGTTAAACAACCCACGTAAACAACCCCACCACCCACACCCAGAGGTTGGCCGGGGGAAACATAATAGGGGGGTAAGGGGGGGGGCGGGGGGGTAAAGGGTCGGGCGACTCTGCACCCCATATCCATACATAAATAAATGTAAAAACATATATATATATATATGGTCACCCCCCCCCCATGACTGACCGTGTCCTTCAAAACATCGCTCCCACCGGCGTGTT